AGCAGAAGAAACCAAGCTTTGCGCCTGATATTATGCAGCTAGCAAGCATAAAGCAAGGGGCGAAAGTGTGGAGCAAGATACCTTGATCTGGTACAGCTTGAGCCCAGGCGTTTGCGCCTTCCCCTCATCCTGCGGCGGCTGCTCCAGCCCGTTGCTGTCCTCCTCGACGCCGCCGCCGCCAGAGGTGGCCTCCGCCGCGCCGTTGGACGACGGGTAGCCGAAGCCCCCTACAGCGACGGAGTCGATGGCCGCCCTCCACGAGGCGTCTCCGTCATCGTCGCTGCTGCTGCTCGCCGTCGGGCTGCCGCCGCCACCGCCGCCCATCCTGCTGCTCGAATCGACTCAGCTCGCTCGGCCGGTGGTGCGCACTTTCGCTCTGCTTCTGGGCCACTTCTGTTCTGGGTTGGGCTGGGCCGGGCCTAACCTGTTTCGCACCGACCCCCGGCGGCTCGAGCCGTGTTTGTTCTATTCTATCACGGGCTGAGCCGCTGACGAATAGGCCAGCCGCCTACTATTCCCTTCTCTTTCCCCGACCCCAACACTTGCGGTCGTCAAATCTCGCCGTCCCACCTCGCCGCCGGCGAAACCCGACCGCCCGGCAGGGCAACCGCACCACCGGCCGGAGGCCCGCGCTTGTAGGATAGTCGGAGATGGGGAAGAAGCAGCATAGCAAGGACCGGATGTTCATAACTGCCACGGAGTGGGCGACAGAGTGGGGCGGCGCCAAGAACAGGGAGGCCATCGCGCCATTCCAGCGCCTCCCCTTCTACTGCTGCGCGTAATTACCTACTCTCTCTCCCTGCTTCCCATGTTCCCTCACCAGCCTTGCTGGAAGATTTGCCTGCTTACCTCTGTTCTCTTGGCAATTTAGGATTCTGATTCGAATTTCGGGAGAGCTTGAGCTTATAGGGTTTCTTCCTTAGGGCATGGACTTGTTTTTTGTGGATCTTTTAGTTGGTATATGCCACTAGTTAAGCTAGTTAGTTACCTTTGTAAGCTCCAAATGCTCAAATTCAGCTCTGGATACTGAACCTTCATACGACTCGAACTTAGCCACATTAGCAGTTGATTAGTAAGTAAAGTCAATCCCTCTTCTTCAGCCACTGATTGTCATTTCGTTGGATATTAGGCTCACGTTCTTGCCATTTGAGGATCCGGTGTGTACGGCAGATGGAAGCGTCTTCGATTTGATGTAAGTGCGTAGGAGTTGCTTCTTGGATAACTTAGTGGTAGGAGAGCTGAGAAGGTAGGGATTCTTATTTTTTTGCTTCTGAATGTAGGAGCATAATCCCATATATTAAAAAATTCGGGAAGCATCCGGTAACTGGAGCAGCACTGAAGCAGGAGGATCTTATTCCTCTCACTTTCCACAAGAACACAGACGGTGAGTTAAATCTATGGCATGAAAAAGTTGATGTAGCCTGAACCAAATAGAACTGCTTGAACAGTAGTAAATTCCTTTGATGTGGTTGATCTTCCGGTGTCATTATGTTAATATTTACTCTTTTCGTGCAGGAGAGTTTCAGTGTCCTGTTTTAAATAAAGTTTTTACAGAATTCACGCATATAGTTGCTGTAAAGACTACCGGGAACGTCTTCTGTTATGAGGTGGGCTTTAGACTTTGGTTAGCTTATACTCCCTCTGACCCAAAATAAGTGACTCAACTTTATATTAGCTTTATACTAAAGTTAGTACAAAATTGAGTCACTTATTTTGGGACGAAAGGAGTATAATAGTGTTTTTCAGGTGGTCAATTTGGTATGCTCGTAGCTGATTGATTATTGCTTTGTGTTCATAGGCAATCCAGGAGCTTAACATTAAGCCAAAGAATTGGAAAGAGTTGCTAACCGATGAGCCCTTCGCACGAAAGGACTTGATAACAATTCAGGTAGCTGTCTGGAAGGACGATATATATTATTCATTGTCTTATTGACAATTAATACCCTAGCCTAATGCTGTTTGCCTTCTGAACTTCTGCAGAATCCAAATGCGCTTGATACCAAGGTCCTAGGGCAATTTGATCATGTTAGACAAGGCCTCAAACTTGATGATGAAGGTTCAATTATGCATCCTCTTTCCCTTTTACTTATTTTGTGTTGGCTGTTTTGTATCTAACATATGTAATCTTTCCTTTTGATGTAGATTTACTTATGTAGTCTGACTATCCAACTTCTGTGCAGAGTTGCAGCGGATGAAAGATGATCCAACCTACAACATAAATGTTGCCGGTGATCTTAAGCAAATGATGAAGGAACTTGGGACTGAAAAAGGAAAATTAGCTTTTCTGCATGGTGGTGGAGGACAGAAAGCTCAAAAGGAAAGAGCTGCCGCACTGGCTGTCCTTTTAGCAAAAGAAGAGAAGAGTGACTCAAAATCGAGCAAAGAACCTAAACCTCCTCAACCATTCAGTGTTGTGGATGCTGCTTCGGCTTCTGTTCATGGCAGAAGCGCAGCAGCAGCAAAATCTGGCACTGCTGAGAAAACTGCTGCTAGAATTGCTATGCACAGGGCAGGAGATCGGGATCCTATAAATGCTAAATTGGTATACTCTCATCTCATCTTTATGTCTTATATTTACATAGACCTTTTGTTACTTGTGTAGTTGGTGCTTGTCTTATGGAGTTGATTCGGTGATTTCAGGTTAAAAGTCGTTACACTACTGGAGCAGCTTCACGTTCTTTCACGTCGACTTCCTATGATCCCGTTACCAAAAATAAATTTGAGTATGTTAAAGTTGAAAGGAATCCAAAAAAGAAAGGATATGTTCAGTTGCATACCACCCATGGTGATTTGAATTTGGAGCTTCATTGTGATATTACTCCTCGGACATGTGAAAACTTCCTAACACATTGTGAAAATGGTTACTACAATGGTCTTATCTTCCATCGTAGCATCAAGTATGTTCTCCTATTCTATTAGCCGTATATAAATCGTGTCCATTCAATCATTCCCTTCTTTATACATGATTATGGCTATATATCTAAATGTTGTCTGGTTTGATCATTACCTTTTTACAGAAACTTTATGATTCAAGGAGGTGATCCAACTGGCACAGGAAGCGGAGGGGAGTCCATATGGGGTCAACCTTTCAAGGATGAACTGAATTCAAAGCTGCTACATTCAGGAAGAGGTGTTGTCAGCATGGCGAATTCTGGGCCCCATACCAATGGGTCGCAGTTTTTCATCTTATACAAGTCCGCGGCACATTTAAATTTCAAACATACAGTGTTTGGCATGGTGGTTGGTGGTCTGCACAATCTTTCAGCAATGGAAAAGGTTCCTGTTGATGATGACGACCGCCCATTGGTTAGTATGATTGTTTTAGTTTCATCTGCATTTTTTACTATATTTTTTAAATGAAAATACCGGGTGCTTTTTTGCAATAAGATTTTGTGGCCACAAAAACCTTGACCATTAACTTTGGGACAGCTGCAGTACACTTGCATTTTTTTTCACTTTGCTTTAAAAATGAAAATACCTTGTAGTTTTTCGCAAACAAGATATTGTGGCCACAATACGTTGGCCATTAAACTTTGGCACAACTGCAGTATACTCGTCTTTTAAGCACTGTATGTTCCATACCTTTTTAGGTATAATTGATGTATTGTGTTCGGCATAGTTGTTTTTTCACTGGACAAAAACATCTGAACGTGGTATTCCTGGTTTTCAACTTTGTTAACAGGAGGAAATAAAGTTACTGAAAGTTAGTGTATTTGTGAATCCTTACACGGAACCAGACGAGGAAGAAGAAAAGGCAAAGGAGGAGGAGAAGAACAAGGATGAAGATCATGTAATGCTGCTTTGCATCTTGTTCCAGTTGGATTCCAGTGCCTCTTTGCATTTACTCTGATGATTTTAACATTTTGTTTGCATTAATCCAGGATAAGGTGGGGTCATGGTATAGCAACCCAGGGACTGGTGTTTCTGCTTCAACGAGCGCTGGTGGTGGAGTTGGCAAGTATCTCAAGGCTCGGACGGCTGGCTCTGCTGATGCCACTGGAAATGCCGCCACAGCAGATGATTCAAGCAAGAAGAGAAAAGCGAGTGCTCCTAGTGTAGAATTCAAAGATTTCTCTGGATGGTAGATGACGTGAATTTCCCCTTTCTTCTCGGAAGAAACAGCCGGTTGAAACTTTGTAACATTTGAGCATGTGCGCCCATGTTATGATAGTGTATTAACTGTCCAGAATGCGGTCTCACAGCTCACAACAGATTTTTCAGAATCCGCATCTTAATCAAACACGCATTCGAGTAAATGTTTCCATTGGTCTATTTATGAACTATTACACGTAAACTTGTAAGCCTTAAGCGAGACACAACTGTCTGGAGCAAGAGCCGCATAAACATTTATGCATAATACGTATGATATTTTCTTTAGATGTGCGCATAAAGATCTTGTGCTAATTGAAAGGCAAATGACTCAAGTGATGTCGATAGAAAGGCAAACTTGTGAGGCATCAACTGGACGGGGTACATACGCCTTCGCCAAGCTTAGCAGCTGGTGTGCTATATTTTCTGCGTATATGTAAACTTAACTAAGAGTAGTGTTCACCTACAAAAACCTATCAATATTGTTGTGTAGGTGTTATGCACCGACCTTTACACAGAGTAATTTAGATACTCAGACAAGAGGGCTAACCCTGGGCACTGCACAGATATGTGCATGTGGCTAAACCAGAATTTTTTGAAACATGGCTAAACCAGAACGACATCATATAAAGTTGCAGTAACAACTAACTCCTATCACCAGTCCAAAAGAAAAGAAAACTCTATCATATATTCATATTATTCATCTTGCAGAACATGTTCACCCCAGGTGAACACACAGCCACCAGATAAACCCTTGAAAGGACTTAACGTCGACCTGTACAGTGCGTCGAATCGACCATTTGATGAACTAATAAGTAGAAAAAGAAGATCAAATCCTGTCTGGCTCAAAAAGCTGAAACAAAACTAAACTCCGAACAACCACTCTGCCAGCTCCTTAGCTTTATTCAGAACTACGCACGCTTGAGCAAAACGACCAGAATAGACGCGATGGCTAGGAGCACGAAGTTAGACGGGCCACTTGTGAAATCCTTCTTGGTGTTGATGATCAGGGTCTTCAACCTCCCCTTGCTCTGGCCCTCATCCGACGTGGCCACCAGGTCCTGCATTATGCTCGAAAGATTCGTCACCATCTCCGACACGAACGCCTTCATCTTCTGAATGTAATCACTGAATGCGTCTCCTGGCGAGACGACACCATTGCTGCTCTGCGAGCTCTCGGCGTCGCTCTGCTCAGCTTCGTCAGTTACACTGGACGACTCGCTGAGGTCTGAGAACGGGAAGGTATATGAACCAAGTTATTGCTTATACTTGTCTAATGGTTAACTGAATTATATGTATTAAATGATGGCTGGGAGCTTACTTGTCTTGTAAAACTCCACAAGTTTCTTATTCTTCATCACAGCTTCCCAGACATTCTTATCAGAAGCAAGCGAAGCAACAACATCCTGCAGCCAAAATAGAACCCATGCTTCAGGTAAATAAACAACAATGCTGAGTTGTTTGCACTTAATGCCAACTGAACTTGCATGAATACAAAAAAAGGGCTGACATTATGCCAATACATGACACCAACTTATCTTCTGATGCTAGCAGGAAGAAATGAAAAAATCATGACTCCACAACACATCATTAGGGTGGCCTTGCCTTGACACCTTCAGTATAAGTTGGAGCTTAATTACCTGAGCTTCAGGACTCTCATGTAGCATGGTGAAGGCTTCAATAACACGTGCAGAGGATCCAGAGGCAACGGATAAACTGTCATGCTTCTCTTCATGCTTAGATGCTTCTGAATGGAGATGATCCTGAAATGTTTCCTGAGCAACCTTTGTGGGATCATCAAGGCCATCATGGGAGACATGTGTCTTGGAGATATCCAGGCGGCCACCATGGGATTCAATCTTGGCACTGGTGGCATGAACACAAGTCATCAGTTTGTTAGTAAACACAACATCTGGCACACAAGCCAAAAGGACCAAAGCGACATACTATGGAAAAGGTACAATAAGGAAACTAATCGAATACAGAATTGTATGACATGGTTGGAAGAAGAACAATACATGACTGACACGTTGAGATATTTTTAGGGTTTGGATCAGGCAATCCTTCCAGAACATGCAATGGAAATCCTAAACAAGCATTGGCTTGATTTTCCGTGAATCAAAATTCTGATGGCACGATTCCAGCAAACGAGCACTTAGGGACAGGAAAACCACAGATAAACATGAAGGGTGCCTAAATTTTAAAAAAATCTTGAATCTATCGGAAAATGCTGAACGCTCCTGATACCAATTTTGTCTTACACCGGACAAAAGACAAGAACAATCTAATGAAAAAGAAGAACAGAACAGGGTCAACCACTATATGGGGCTTTGCCACTGCCAAACAACCAGACGTGCAATCGCACCAGTTTGCAACTAAAACTTCATGGACATGAACCATATCTATCAAACTATCACCAGTTTTGCGACATAACATCAATCAATCTGGTAAAACAAAGGAAGCAAGAAGGACAAGTGACAAGTAATTAGTAGAGTTTAGCGCTGCGCACATCTCGAAGGCGTCCCTGAGGTCGAGGGTGGCGGCCATGGCCTCCTCGTGGGAGGGCACGGGGCCGAACACCTCGCGGTCGGGGATGTACCAGTCGTCGAAGGTGGTGGCCGTGGAGGCGGGGCGGGTGTCGGCCGCGGCGACGGAGGAGGAGGAGGGCAGGGCGGAGCGGCGGGCGTTTGAGGCGGAGCGGTAGCCGCCGATGAAGGCGGCCCTGGCGGCCGCGCGGATCCCCATGCTGCCGCCTCCCATCGCCCCCGATCTCTCTCAAGCTCTGCGGGAGAATCGACTCGATCGATCAAAGCCCGGGGAGAATGGCGGCGACCGGGTATTTAATAGCCGCGGAGGGTTGGGGAAGGTCGCTTGAGGATTAGGGGGGCGCCGCGGGATCTGGGCCGTTGAGTCTGGAACGGACGGATGATCCGGTGGGGCGCGGTGCACGAGGGGGCCGTCCACGTTGAGTCCTTGCGCAACACGGGTGTAATCCTTTTGCTGATACGCGGCGGGCAGTTAGTTGCGTAGGGAATCACGCCGCTTATCTCTGCGATTAAACAGGCCAAAACCACCGGCCCAAACTGGAGCACGCAGTTTTTTTTTAACACAGTACTGGTACGACTCTCTCCGTCATACAAACTGGAGTATAATGTAAGACGTTTTATCTTTTCATGAGTACTCCTATATTGGAGCAGTAGCAAATGCGGGAAAAAAAAATTCTATGAGACCAGGTCTCACGGGTTAGCAGGTGAGACTCATCCTGATGGATGATACGTGGCATTTATAAATCACAAAGCATCTACCCCATTTCCCACCTGAAATCAGGGGGGAAGAGATTAGATGATTTTGTGATTTATGAATGCCACGTGTCATCCATCAGGGCGGGTCTCACCTGCTTTATATGAGACCTGGTCTCATATATTTTTTTTTTCCAAATACGGTGTCGGCGTATGTGTCAGAGTATAAGAGCATATACAGCGGGCACCCCGTATCCCCTCAAACGTCCGGGCGGAGTATCGTGTCTAGTCAGTGACCGATCAAAAAGACCTGACCTAGACGGGCGCCTCAAACGGGCCTCAAACGTCTGGGCTGACCGGCACCCCCTCATATCCAGCCCAAATCTAGGGCTGAGAAGGCCGAGGCACGACCGGGCGCGTCCGCCACGCCGGACTGACGATGGGGTCCCATAGGAAAACACTCTGAAACCCGATGGTCCGAAGCTCGTCTCCTCTGTCGGACCGATGGCGCCGCGTGGCGCTGCTCAGGCGGCCCGCATAGTGCCCTAACCCAGCTATTTAAGCCGACCGACGGCACCGAAACCCTATCCGTCCACATTTTCCCCCTCCCGTCCGCCGCCGCCACTTCCCACTCGCCGTTCGCCACCACTAGGAGTCATGCCCCCACGCCGCTAGTAAGGCGCTACCCATATCTAACGGTGGAGTGCCCGCTGCAGCTCCTTGAACAGATCCAGGCAAGGCGCGAAGCCCGGATAGCCGCGGGGCTACCTCCGGACGCGATGGATCCGGAGGGGGACTAGGAGGAAGAGGGGGTGGTCGAGCAGGACGGGGAGGACGTGGAGCGGGAGGAGGACAAGGAGGATGCTCTGACGCGAAGCATCAAGCATTTCTCGATTCCTTCCGGTTGGAATCGGAGGCGAAGGCCAACCGCCGTCGTCTGCAGGAGGCGGAGGCGGAGCACGCCGCAGGCGTCGATGAGATGCTTGCGTATATGGATGAGGAGGAGGAGCCATAGCACTCCTACGCACCCATCTACCCGGCCCCGGGCACCGACGTCGTGGACATCTTCGACGACGAAGCGTAATTAGGCTAGCGTGATGTGCGTAGTACGTAAGATTTCTTTTGTATGCTTTGTATGGATCTAGTGGATGAAATATGAGATACTCATATGCATAGCACCAAGTATGAGGTGTGGCCGTCCAGTGCCCGCGGACGCGCCCTATCACGTCCGTGGGCTTTGAGAGGCCGAATTTGGCAAGTTCGGTTGTAGATGCTCTAAGGGAAACATGCAAATATGCTCTCAAATAAAAACCCATAAAAGTATTACATTTCAACGCATTGATAGAAGAAGAGTTAGTACAAGCCCAAAGATGTACAACACAACACCCTCGGATTACAGCACAATGCCCCTAGTTGCTAGTCTCAGTCGCTGCCGAGAGCAGGGCGTGCAACCCCTTCGCACCCATTGCTCAGTTGGGCCTTATCGAGGATGATCGTGTTCTGATGATTCCAGATGCACTAGGCCACCGACATTATAACACAGGTGGTGCCCTTTCAGGCAGGGGTTGGACTAAGCAATAGCTTTGCTGCCACTAATCCACGAAGACCTACCCCATAAAGGGGGAGGGGAGCGTCATGTAACTGGTCTAGTTTAGCACCTAGTGCCACACCAAGCGCGAGAAGGGGCAGACGGTGAGGAGGTGAGCCATCGTCTTCGGCTGGTCGTAGAGCACGCATGAAGGAGCATGCTGGAGACCCCAACAAGCAAACCGTCCAACAACGGCCCTCACAGGTAAGACAGATGAAGAACTCCACCCGATGAGGCTCCTATGATTTCCACTTCAACTTCCATGAAACTTGAACCAACCAATCCCTGGAAGAGATTGTCGTAGCAACTCTTGGAAGTGTACGAGTTGTCTCGAGTCCAACACGGGAGTAGGACATCCAGCTAAACCTTTTTTAGGATAAATTAGGGGATTTATTCAAAGTTCAAAACATCAGGGATACAAGCAATCTCTGGCGAAACCCCTAGCCACACATGACGACCCACCGCAAGAGATGCAGCTCCTTTAGCTAGCGAATGGACCTCGAAATTATTCTCCCTATGTTCGAAATGAAAATGAACAGAAGAAAAACTATTCCTACTAGTTTGACTCTCCCCAAGGATAGGTGCATATGCTAGCGACCCTTCATCTTGATGTTTGAGATCACTTGTAAACAATCCGAAGCAATCACCATGTCCTGCAAATGTAGATCTCACGTGAGAGCTAGCGTCTAATACGTCTCCGTCGTATCTATAATTTTCGATTGTGTCATGCCAATATTATACAACTTTCACATATTTTTGGCAATATTTTATATGATTTATTGGACTAACATATTAATCCAGTGCCGAGTGCCAGTTCCTGTTTTTTGCATGTTTTTTGTTTTGCAGAATATCCATATCAAACGAAGTCCAAATGCAATAAATTTTCATGGAGAATTATTTTGAAATACATGTGATTTTTGGGAGGTGGAATCAACGCAAAAGGAGGCCCATAGCCCCCACAAGACACCAGGACGCGCCCCAGGGCCCAGGCGCGTGGTGGTGGGTTGTGGTCACCTCGTAAGGCGGTTAGAGCTCTACTTCGGGTGCAAGGAAGCTTATATCCGGAGAAAAAGTCGTGTTAAAAGCTCAGCACAATCGGAGTTACGGATCTCCGGATATTTAAGAAACGGTTTTCGGACAGATCTGAAGAATGTGAAACATAAGAGAACGGAGAGGGAGATCCAATCTCAGAGGGGCTCCTGCCCCTGTGCCGCCATGGAGGCCATGGACCAGAGGGGGAACTCGCCTCCCATCTAGGGGAGGCCAAGGAAGAAGAAGAAGAAGGAGGCTTGATGAGCCACAAGTATAGTGGATTAATTGTAGTCCTTTCGATAAGTAAGAGTGTCGAACCCAACGAGGAGCAAAATGAAATGAAAAACGGTTTTCAGCAAGGTAATGTCTGCAAGCACTGAAGTTGTAAGAAACAAGTTGTTTGATAGCAAGATAATTTGTAACGAGTAAGTAACGCTAACGGTAACAAAAGTGCAGCAAGGTAGCCCAATCCTTTTAAGGCAAAGGACAGGCCAAAACAATCTCTTATGATAAGCAAAGTGTTCTTGAGGGTGCATGGGAATTTCATCTAGTCACTTTCATCATGTTGGTTTGATTTGTGTTCGCTACTTTGATAATTTGATATGTGGGTGGACCGGTGCTTAGGTGTTGTTCTTACTTAAACAAACCTCCTACTTATGATTAACCCCCACTCAAGCATCTGCAACTACGAGAAAAGTATTAAGAATAAATCTAACCATAGCATTAAACTTTTGGATCCAAATCAGCCCCTTACGGAGTAGCGCATAAACTAGTGTTTAAGCTTCTATCACTCTTGCAACCCATCATCTAATAACTACTCCACAATGCATTCCCTTAGGCCCAAGTATGGTGAAGTGTCATGTAGTTGACGTTCACATGACACCACTAAGGGAATCACAACATACATACCATCAAAATATCGAACACATACCAAGTTCACATGATTACTTGCAACAAGATTTCTCCTGTGACCTCAAGAACAAAAGTAACTAATGATAGTCATGCTCATGATCAGAGGGGTATTAAATAGCATAATGGATTTGAACATACAATCTTCCACCAAATAAACCATATAGTAATCAACTACAAGATGTAATCAACACTATTAGTCACCCACAAGCACCAATCTATAGTTCCGGTACAAAGATTGAACACAAGAGATGAACTAGGGTTTGAGAGGAGATGGTGTTGTTGAAGATGTTGATGGAGATTGCACTCCCCAAGATGGGAGAGTTGTTGGTGATGATGATGATGATGATTCCCCCCTCCGGGAGGAAAATTCCCCCGGCAGAATCGCTCCACTGGAGGGCAAAAGTGCTCCTGCCCAAGTTTTGCCACGAGACGACGACGCTTCATCCCGAAAGTCCCGTCTTGATTTTTTTCTAGGTTAAAATGACTTATATACGAGAAGATGGGCACCGGAGGTGGGTCGAGTAGGACACAACCCACCAGGGCGTGCGTGGCCCCCCCTGGCGCGCCCAGGTGGGTTGTGCCCACCTGGTGGGCCCCTCCGGTGGTTATTTGCTCCAATAATTCTTCTTTATTCCATAAAAAATCCCCATGAAGTTTCAGCTCATTTGGAGTTGTGCAGAACAGGTGGCCTGACGTAGCTTTTTCGGGTCCAGAATTCCAACTGCCTGTATTCTCCCACTTTGTGTGAACCTTGCATATTATGAGAGGAAAGGCATTAGAATTACTCCAAAAAACATTATCATGCATAAAAACATTATAAATAACCGTAGGAAAACATGATGCGAAATGGACGTATCAACTCCCCCAAGCTTAGACCTCGCTTGTCCTCAAGCGAAAACCGAAATCGAAAAACATGTCCACATGCTTAGAGAGAGAGAGAGAGGTGTCGATAAAAACAAAATACGGACATAGAAGCATCATGTATATTA